GCCTAGCCATCGCCTCCCCCACCCCGACGGGCATTACTAGCTGATATAGGTGCAGGTTGGAAAAGAGTAAGAGGTGGTGGCCAAACAAAAACATGGCCTCATCAATCCATGAAATCCCTGACAGTTAAACTGAGTCAGGTAGAGAGATGCAGACTTCCGGGTTGGGGCCCGCCCTCGGGACTCTAAGAATCAATGGCTGGAGACAGACAATAGGTGACATGGCTCAAAATCGTTGTCAGTGGCGCAGATGTGTTCAGTCTCTGTAATCTTTCATATTCCTCTCTAACATTACTCATTCTGTTTCACTCTTATACTTCTCAAAACTCCATTGATTCTCTTCACTCATCTGCTTGCCTACCTTTGTGTGCTATTTGGAACGTGGCAACTCGAAGTGCTGCACTTCGGTGCCAAGTTCTATGTTGAATCCAGCAGCAGCAGCAGATTCCAGTTGTGTTTTCCTCTGAATTTTTTTCAGTTGAATATATATGTCTCCAAGATTTTTCGAGAGATCATTAGCGATGGTAGATTCGAGTGTGGGTAGACCAGCGAAAAATCTCTCTTCGACGAATTCATTTTCTTAGCTGTACAATCGCAAATATATGTGTGTAATTTTGTATGTATGTGTACAATAAGTTTATCAGACAAAAATACAATTTCCTGAAATAATTTGAGCGCCGAGTCAGATTGATTCATTATAAATTATTTAAATTAATCCCAGCGTGTTAAGAAAATCAAAACAAGATTTTTCTGAACGTTTCGCTGTGTAAGCCACAGCTTCTTCAGCAGATTTATCTGCTTGTTTGATTTTGATTTGATTTTCTTAACACGCTGGGATTAATTTAAATAATTTATAATGAAAAATACAATTGGTTATAGTTATTTAAACTACCCAGGTGAAGATTGGTAATTGGAGTTACGTAATACAAAATGACTGAAGAAAATTAAGTGTTAGTGAAATTATTATTATTTTTATTTTATTTTGGTTACAGCTTGATGCCACACCGTATTTTCAGTACAAGTATGGAATTTTCAGCATGGATATCGGTAGCCCAAATTCAGGCCGACCATAGATATCGGGTGTGCGTCGGCAGGGGATCGAACCTCGAACTATGTGCATGGTCGGCGAGAGTCCTAACCACTGTGCCACCGACGCACATTAGGGTAGTAACAAAGGTGATGAGTTGTCACAAACAGTTGTTAAAAAAGAAGTGTAATAATATGAATAGTTTGATGATTGAGTTTTACTCAGGATGCACATAGGAACAAAGAAGAGAATACGAAATTACGTAAGAGTTCTAAATGAATACAATAATTATAAGCAGTTAAAGAACATGCAAAGAAACAAAATTAATTCATCAAAATAAAAAAAAAAATCAAATCAAATCAAAAAAGTTGTTAGCAAGACAGTAGAAGTGGTTGAGTAATCCTCTTTTGTATGCACAGCTCCGGTTTTTCTATGTCAATGGCCAGATCTTCAGCAATACAAAGAAGGCGAAACCGTATTGCCTTTGATAGGTTGTTCTTGACTCTGTAGATTACTTTGAAGGAGGCGTCTGTTGAAATGGAATGATCAGCGTTCACCAGATGTTCAATTATCGCACTCCTTATTGCACCACTATTGCCTTTTCGCAACCATGCTGGATAGTGCTCTTGAATCCTCTTGGACAGGGTGCGCGTCGAACGACCGATGTACCTGGCTCCACAGCAGCAGGTGAACTGATATATGCACATAGAAGTGGTCAGATGCAGGATCTTGTACTTGAGGCTTCTGCAGATCAGTGGGCGACTGGAGAACACTATTCTTAGCGTTGCTGCAAAGAATGTTCTTCTCATAAATGATGTGATCCTTCTCTTGAGAATATCGCTTGCTAAATCTCCCTTGAAATCCAGGTTCATGTAGAGTTTCTTTTTTGGCACAAGTAGAGTTTCGTTTCTCCGAATTCTTGGTCTGATATTTTTGTCGATGAATCTCATTGGGTATCCATTTTGGATGAAAATTTCTCTTAGAATATTTAATTCTGTTTCCAGAGCGTCGGGACTGCAGATGCGTCGGATGCGGGTGGCAAGTGATTTAATTAAATTTCGCTTTTGTTGAATGGGTACCCAGCTATAGAAGCTTGTCAGTTGACCATTCCAAGTAGGTTTTCTATGAATCGTTCTTAGGCTCCCATCATCATACATACAAAATAACACATATATATTTGCGATTGTACAGCTAAGAAAATGAATTCACCGAAAGAGACTCTTCGCTGATCTACGTGTTTTGTTTTGTATTAGGTAAATCCAGTATTCACTGCCTGCACATGGTAAGAAATCTGAACGGATCGAAATGGCGTGTGAACATGTTTCGGTCACAGGAAGCCATTGCTCCATTGCCTTATCGATGAGAGTTCAAGTTCAAGGCTCTGGAGTATGACTTCCTAAGGCAAACACCTGCTATGGTTTAGGAGTACAGGCAGTATCCCATCCCTCACAAAAATTACGTTCTCGTTTCTTTGGTGTATATCCTAATGCTCATAATTCACTAAGTTTGCGCCTTAAATAAAAACAGGGGTGGGGTTGCTAGCCTCACGGCTAACTTGCCCTCCTTTAGGCTGTTACTACCATCTGGACGTTGACCGCTTCACTTACTTGGAAAGTACCATCAATCCCCAACGGGTTGATCCCCGACGAAATCTCAGCACGAATGCAGAGGGCCGGGTTCGCATACGCGAGTTTACGCCGTCTTTGGCGTAGACGTGATATCCGACTGGCTGACGATCAAAGGGCATGTGTACTGCTCAATAGTCCGCTCCGTCCTCCTTTATGGCTGTGAGACCTGGCCATTGAGAGTGGAAGACATGAAAAGGTTGGCTAGCTGTCTTTGATCATAGGTGTCTGCGTTCTATCTCCCGTGTGAAGTGGTATAATAAGGTGAGCAATATTGAGGTTAGGCTTTGGTCGAGTGCTAGGTAAGTGGGAGGGGAAATCAGTCGACGAGGCTGTGAAGTTACATCGACTGAGATGGTTAGGACATGTGTTACGTATGCCTAGCCATCTCCTTCCTCGACCAGCGGGCAATGTTAACTGATATAGGGTCAGGCTGGAAAAGAGCTAGCGGCGGTCAAATCGAAACATGGCCTCATCAGTCAATGAAATCTACAGCAGTTAGTGTAGGCCACGTAGGAAGGCGTATACTTCCTGGCTGGTTGGGGTCCTCAGGATGTTAAGAACCAATGAAGGCTGGAGGCAATTGGTGACATGGCTCAAAATCGTTCTCAGTGGTGCAGATGCATCCACTCCTTGTGACTTATGATTTCCAATGAAACTATATTGTTCTTCGTTATTACTATTCCTTTGTCTCACACCTCTGTTTACTGCCTCTAATATGCATTTCTCCTTTCTTCTCTTGCTTTGTGAGCTACCTGGAGTGTGGCGACTTGAACTGGCGCACATATGTGCAAAGTTCTATGTCGAAAACAGACAGACAGACCATCTCGACGATGTTTAGGAGTGGATTGGTAGGGAATTCGACTCGGACATCCTGCATGTTGGCTGGTGATAAATCCACCAGTGGATTATTGATTCATAAAGTCAAATGTGTAATAACAGTGTTCTGAACTCATCAATCAATCATCGGTAGACCAAAGTATACACCAAACAAAGATACACCTTAACGGGAAGTCACAACATTGCTCTGCTTAAAGCAGAGATTCTACCCACCATTCTGATAATATAAACTACCTGTTATTCTTCTGCAGTCTTCATTCACAATCGTTTCATAGGAATAATTTTAAGCCAATTAACTTATGCTACATGATTGGTTGGAGGATTTCATCATGAGCTGATATCGGTTAGAGAATTGTTGGAAAACCAACAAGGGAGTACTGGAAAGCCTATTGTTTCGGAAGTCTAGCTTGAGACGCTTCAGGAGTAGGCATCCACAGCAAAGGGTTCGAGCCCAGGACCTTCTGGTTACTGCAAGTCTAGGGAGGTCGTAGACCATTAGGCCACTGTCACCCGATCCGATGGCCAGCCCATGAATTCTAACTTCTGCTAATTCACGATATAGCGTGACCACTTAGAGATCTCTTCGATGAGTAAACGTCCTCACCTTCGACCTGCTATACCCTACTGGTCACGGCTTCCCACTAGAAACCCAGGTAACTGCCTGAACAGGGTCGAAGACATTTCTAAGTGGTCGCGCTATGTCGTGAATTGGCAAAAAATAGAATTCATGGGCTTGCCAATGGGTTTGGTGCCAGTGGCTTGATGGTCTACGAGCTCGTTAGACTTGTAACCAGAAGGTCCTGGATTCTACGCCTGGCGGTGGGTGCATAGTGATGAAGAGTCTCAAACTAGAGTTGCGAAACAGCAGGCTGTCCAGTACTCCCTTGTTGGCTTTCCATCAATGTCAGCTCCTGATGAAATCCTCTAATTAACTTTATATTAGTCGGCACTGGTCGACGTGAAAACCCGTTTTTGAGCACAATTTACACATGTCTTAGCCACATTAGTCGATATATCTCGACAATTCCATTGATTGACTCACTCGTCTTAGCTAACACTCCATGCTTATTCCCAATATTACTCAGCATATTATATCACATGATATGGCATATGGGACACTAACACCTATGATTCAATACAGTTAGCTAGCCTTTTCATGTCTTCCGCTCTAAATAGCCATGCCTCACAGCCATAAAGGAAGAATGAGCGAACTGCCGCGCAGTACATATATTCTTTGATCCATAGCCTGAAATCAGATGTATGCCAGAGACGACTTAAGTGAGCAAATACCAAATGGAAAGATGATTCTTCAGTGCCTGTGTGCACCGGATGATCTAACATCGAACTACTGAGAATTTTTACTACACCTTTATTTAACCACACTGGTAAGTGCTCTCGAGGAAGATAAAACTAAGTTCTTAGCTTATTATGAAATGGTCACATTCTAATCATACTTATACTTTTCTAATAAATCTCTATTTTTTCCTCTTCTTTTACATTTTCCTTCAAAGGAGAACCATATATTCCAAGTTATATGGATCCATTATCTGGCCCTGAACCGTGTGTTGTCTGTGGAGACAATGCCACTGGTTTTCATTATCGTGCTATGACATGTGAAGGTTGTAAAGGCTTTTTTCGACGTTCTGTTCAAAAAAAGCTAGTATATACCTGTAAATTTCAAGGTCGTTGTCCAGTAGCCGACAAACAGAATCGTAATAGCTGTCAAAAATGCCGTTTCGACCGATGCATCAAAGGTGGTATGGCTAAAGATCGTAAGTTTATTTTGTTATATATAAATATATATATTATATGTAACTATTTATAATCTCTCATTTATTACTTGCTAATTGTGACATGGTGCTACAAATTTTAGCGAAAAAAAAGATGATCGATCGGTAGCACGCATATGTTTACCTGGGTGGTACATTTTTGTGATAATAAACATGTCTGTAAGTCAAAGGTCACTTAATGCTTAGGTCATTTAACTCGAAATAATAATCTATAATAATACTAATCATTAATTTTAATAATAATAATGAAATATAATAGGTAAGCCGAGCATGCATGTGTGTGTCTGTATTTTTACTGTCAGGCCTATTTAAATTGAGGTCACATGATCGATTTAAATGTTAGTCTGCATGCACATGTGTCTGTCTGTCTACCTATCCATCTATCTCTTTATCAATATGTCATTCAAGGTCATTTTTGGTGTATGCCTGTGTATTAGTGTGTGTCTATACCACCCATGTATAAGAAATCGTGACCTAATGAATGTATGTAGACAGTGTAGTGCAGTGTTGTGCTAAAGTAATTACCATTGTAATCCTGAATAGAGAGAATATAAGATAATGGTAATGAAATACGTTCACATATTCTGCTTAGATGGATAGATAGATAGAGGTAGGTAGGTTGGTAGAGATGGTTTATAAGAAAGATAATAATAAATAGCATTATTGTTATTTATCTAATACGCATCATAAGTTGGATGCATGATAAGCGAATTAATCTGAATAAGACTTTAAAAAAAATACATTTAAGTATTTTATTTTTTTACTAAACACGTAACGTAATAATTTTTATTTATACCAGTTTGATGACCGATTGATATCAGTTAGAGGAATATTGAAAACCAGCCCCACAGGGAGTACTGGACAGCCAGCTGTTTCATCCTAGTTGATTGGGAATCATCGATAGTACGCATCCAGAACCTTCCGGTTACAAGGCTAGTAGCGAGCTCGTATACCACTCAGCCACTAATAATGCTTGGCAGCTAGCCAGATCAGAATGATCCAATCAGTGGAAGGCTGTTTCAGTCACCAGTATCTCCGGTTGCATTCAGCTGATAGAGAACTGAATCAGTTCAAATCACCCCCACCCCCTAACCCGATTTCTGACTGGTTATTTGGATCAAGTGCTAATTGATTGATGAATCTGAAATTGAAATGGGTGGGCGGGTGGGGGATAATCGAGAAAGCAAGCGTATAAATGCATAAAAAATTACAGCTAGATCGAATTGATTTAAACATCGCGGGGGGGGGGTGGCTGTTTCGGGGCCAACTTCAGCTGCAATGTAGCCATGATTGACTCAGCTGATAGAGAGGCAAATCAGTTCAAATCATACACCCGAATTTCTGGTTAGCTACTCGCGCCAACTGTTAATTAATTCCAGTTTGCAGCTTACACACAATTCGAGGAGGTGAAATTACATGACAGTTTCGTTTGAAAGCTGAAAGTTTTCAGAACACCACAGTATATTTGATCTGCTTGCTACAATAATGTGAAGTTACTGATAAGGCAAACTCGGTGACTATTTAGCTATTCCGACTAACCTATGCATTCTGATCTGATAATCACTAGTGACTGACTACAGGACGAAATTGCCTGACGTTCTACTGAGAAGCCGTGATTAGTGGAGACCACCATTCACTCACTAGTCACATTGGCTGGCGGTCACGCTGTACATCACGAATTAGCCAAATAGTCAATGACCCAGCTCGTAACCTAACTGTGCTGGATTCGATCTCCAAAAGTGAATTAACGGGTAAATGCTGTTGAAGAGTCTCAAATGAGGGTGAAACAGTTTTTTGAGTATTTCCTGCAAGTTTTCAGGGATTTCCTAACTGACGCCGATCCGTGATCGAACTTTAATATCCATAGTAGTATGAGAATTATTATAATTTGACAGCAATAATGTTTTTTCCAGGAAACACTGGAATCCTAACAAGTCTTTTGGAAAATATATGAAATGTAGATTTTTATTATTATTCGCTTGGGTTCCGAGTCGAACATAGGGCTTCAACAACACATCTCCACTTCCTTCTATTCTCCGCTTTCCTCTTCACCTGGCTAGCTCCACGACTGGACATACTATCTCATCTACTCTTCCTCCTCACACGATCTCCTCCATATCGCCCCCGCACTGGCGACCCACTCGTCGCTTCCCATTCCCATTCCACTCGAGCAATGGCCTGCATTGAGCACCATGTCATTCGACGGCCTCATGAGTGACGTGTGCCTGATCAATCTCCATTTTCTTCCATATATCTGTAGAGCGATCGGCTCTCACCTGTTGGTTTGTTTCCACAGTTTCTTGTTACTAATTATTTCTCACCTGCCTGCTGGCTGGTCATTTGATATTCGGTATGGAGCCGGCGAATGAGGTGGCTGTTGGTAAAAGTCATCAATGGCCTGTTGGAAATGCTTTTCGTGACGCACACGCAGTGCAAGTTTCTAACCCATGTAGAAGAACTGACTGACTGACTTTATATTAATGTTGAAAATTCGAATATTGTTCCTTATGCTAGCTGAAAGCAGAAGATTCCCAAACTTGTTTCAGTTTGATGAAGGCGTATGCTGACTTTCCGATTCTGGCTGGCTTTGACATGTTCATCCGTTCCACCAGCTGTAGTTGAAATGATGCTTCCTTAATAAGTGAAGGAGTTAACGTCTACTAAATCTCTCCCGTTGATGGTGATCGGTGCTGGTTGTTGTTGTTGTTGCCGCTCATAGGTTATATTCATCGCCTCCGTCTCGTCTATGCTCACCTACAATCCTATCTTCGCCTCCTTCTTCAGCCAGTTTGTTGGTTTTCGCCTGTTTACATGCAAGTCTTCGAGTTTGTGTGACATTAGACATATATTATCTGCGAAATCTAGATCTCCTAGAGTCTTCTTATCGGTGGTCTAGCGTATTCCTGTCCCCTCTCTCCCTGTGCACAGTCTCACGCATAATCCAATCCATCATAATTAAGAATATCACTCTGCAAACTAAGCTTTTCTTTGAATTTGATTTGTTATTTCATTACATGGTTAGTTTTTCTTTACCAGTAACATTAATAATAATAATAACACGCTGTCTACTTTTCCCCCTTTTCCTATAGTTGTCCTCGACGAAGATAAACGTCTAGCTAAACGTCGCCTGATTGAAGCGAATCGAGCACGTAAACGAGCTGAAGCAGCTGCAGCAGCAGCGGCAGCAGCTGAGGCCGTCGGCATCTCCACCTCTGCCATAGACTCCACAGGTATTCCTCAGGCAACAACACACAATATCCTTAATCCTATAAATCCCAATATCTCTTCAAACTATCAAGTGATATACAATCCGCCAATATCTATATCAAACACCCTGCCGACATCCGCTCTTAAATCACGCATTCCACATCCGCCTGCATTCCATTCGAATGTGATATTCACACAGCATCAGTATACAATGAATCCAACACCGGTTGTTGGTCGTCAGCAGTACCAGTCAACTCCGAATCAATTAAGCTCTATTATAGAGGTAGATAATACCCGTAGTCTTTCAGCTATAGCACCCTCATCTGTTATCAATGATCAAACAATACCAGTGATAAAACCAACCAGCACAACACTAATGATGACGAATACACCACAGGCAGTAAATACTCCGCCATATTGGCCGCCAGTATACACCAACACCAACACCACCACCACCGATAACAACAACAACAACGGCACAACAGCAACAACAACACCATGTTTCACTAATCTTGTGAATAAAAATCCCCATCCTCCTCCTCCTCACCAGCATCATCATCAACAGCATTCTACACTTCAACAATCGATCCATGAATCAGTGAATAGTGTTCAGTTGCAGAGAAGTACAGAGGGTAGTACAACATTACAAGCTTTCAATCAATATCATTACTTGAATTTACCTAATGAAAGTCAAAGAAGTCAACAACAACAACAACAATCTGATACAATGAGTGTAGAAGGCCTGCCCAAACTTACAGATATTCATCAGATATATAACAAGAGCCATAATAATAATAATAATGGTGCTGACAATACCAGTGTATATTGTGAACGTCAGATATATTCGCCTATAACACCAGATAAATGTCCACCGCTTGGCTGTGGTAAAACAACGACGACAAAAGCAACAACTACACTAATTCAAAGTGATAACACTGCAATGCCACTTCAATCTTTCAAACAAAATGGTTGTTATGGGAGCAATAGCAGCGCTAATAGTGGTGTTAGTAGTAGCAGTGCTAGTAGTACTGGAATAGATTCAAGTGAAACAGGATACAATGATTGTCCATGGACAATTGAAGATCAAAATATGGTTGATTCTATTGTTCAAGCGTATAGTAATATGTTGAATCCAAATTTTAAACAAAAGGTAATGTCTATAAGTATGATTACTATTTTTATTATTTATAATGTGTTGATATAATCTATGTCTTTATTTTTTAGCCAGTCTCAGTTATTTAATTCAATTTTAGATTTCCCTGTCGACTGATTGGACCGAAGTGGTCGACTGACATCCAGATGACGAGTCCCAGATAGGACGAAATGCGCTTTGTCCTGGATTCCACTGCTAGTCACCATCCACCGATTAACTTCAAATGACATGCCCAGACATCTTCGAAGCATCTGCATAAGAAGCCGATATGTCAACCTGAGACCGAGCACTTCGGTCCAATCAATCGACGGGAAAATCTAGAAATTCAATTAAATAATTAGTATCACCTGTTGCAGAAGAGGTGGCTCTCGTGGCTGAAGTGGTCTAGTGGATAACGCTTCAGCTAACGTTTGAAATTATGGACACTGGGTTCGAGCCTCGGTGCGGGGAACATCATCACTCACTGTGAAATGCATGTACATCCAGTTGATGACGAGTCCCAAATAGCACGAAATGCGCCTTATCCTGGATTATTCCACTGCTAGTCACTATCCACCAATTAGCCTCGGTTATCTTATAATTATAATAAGGTGGTCGTCCTTTTTGCTAAGTAAATACTGGTTACTTGAAGTGGTCTTATCCTTCTCGGCAGGCTGTCTTATCCTCAGTATAGAGATGGCTAAGAAAACAGGCAGTCTTTAGCAGTCTGATAGAAAAGCTTTTCTTGACTTACCTATCAAGTTTCTGAAGCATAAAGAAACACTGACGTGTTACTAGGATTGAAGATCTGAATCTCGTGCCTGAAATATACTCACTTGTGCGTCCGTGGCAGAGTGGTAGAATGCTGGCCAACCACGCAAGTGGTTTGGGGTTTGATCTCCGGCCACCAACGCACTCCTGAAGCTCACTAGGCCAGTATTAAGACTGGTAAAGAGGGAAGGTTGGGCTGTACATGAGGCTGGTTAGCGACCCCATCCTGTAGAAGTAAACACCACTGCTACAGAAACTTCAAGCTTCTAACTTGAAGGTGCCCTATGTTCCACTGGGAACGTAAAGGAATAAAAAACAACACTCACTTACTTGGATACTTGGTAGCTGAATAATTTCTCTGGGTATACTAGAATTCACCGCCTTGGTTTAGAGTAGACTTTCAGCCTATGCATTGACTACTGCTCTCTCAAGTTAAGTAATTAACAGGATATGAGGCAGATGATTACGTGTTTTCAATAGTGGTTTACTATCCTTCCAACTGTTGTACGAGACTCATATACTAACCCCAAGTCCTAATGAATCTTTAACTAACAAGCATTTCATCTATCTTTTCTTCTGTAAATGAATTCCGGTAGGGTTAGTTTGAAGTGATTCGGTTATCTGAGCTAAGTCTAGCCGGGTACATCGATAATGAGATCGGCCGTCAATGAGCGAATTATTATTTCCTCTAATTCCTAGAAGAGCATAGGGCTTCAGCTGCGCGCCTCCATTGCGTTCGGTTCTCTGCTAGAGTTTTCACCTGGCTCCAAGTCTTCCCACATGCTTTCCTCATCTCCTCTTCACATGACCTCCTCCAAGTCACCCTTGCACTGACGACCAACTCGCCGCTTCTTTTTCGGGTTCCACTCGATGGCTTGTTTAGTGATGTCACTTGATGTTTTCCTCAGAGTATGGCCACCTCCACAGCTGTTAATGAAGGCCTGTAGTTTGTTTGAAACAGCCTTCATGACGCGCCAAGTCGCCGATCCGTATAGTAAGTAGCAATGACTTCACATTGGAGTTGAAAATCCGGATCTTATTTCTCATGCTGAGTGCCCAATGAGCGAAACAGACGTCTAATGTTTAGATACCTTGAACTGGCTAACAAGTACTGCTTACCTACTGGCATCAGTTGTTATCAATCAGTAGTATATATATGCCATCACGCATAGTTTGTGATCGAGAGATATTTAACTGTACATCTGACACTATCACTTTTTAAACCAGGTATTGTATTTATTATCCCAATAATATTCAACATGAAATGAGGAAGAAGTGATCAACTGTTGGGAAGAACAGTTAAAATAACACTGATTGACAATCTGATGTCTTACGTAATCAGGCGAAAAAATACATGAACAGCCAAATAGTTTAATCTGAGACTGGTCACCTGAATATAAAGACGATCGTCAGTGAGTTTCCACTGGGTGCCGAACCCAAAAGCCATTAACTAAAACATCAGAGCATGCTACCATCAACCAAATATCGATCCTCAAAAGTCATCCAGGAAGTACTAGGATACTTCCAGTAGCGGCCGACATGTTGACAGAAAGTGGGTATTTCTATCCATTCAGTCAGCGAGAAAATCAAAACTGGATTTCTATAAAAAAAATATAGCACAAATAGTGACTGGTGCTTGTTGCACAAGAGGTGATTCCTGTGGCTCTAGTACCCTGGTAAGTAGCACCATGGTATCCGAAACAGTGGGTGCTAGATTTGAGTCTCAGTGAGAACATATTCATTCATTGGGGATCGCTGAACAGCCCAAGCATGACGAAATATCCATAGTAAATTTCCTTGCTAGTTATCATCGGCCAAATATCATCACACTAATCCTCAGGCGTCGCTGAACCGTCTGTACTAGAAGCCAAGTGGGATTAAGTTAATTCAGCGAAATAAACTAATAAGTTATCCCCATTTGTACAAGAGGTGCCTGTTGTGGTCAAAGTGGTTTAATGGATAACACTTTGACTTTTGAATCGAAAGCTATTGGCTCTGAGTGTCTGAGTGGGGGCATCATCATTCACTGGGGATTGTAGGTGTATCCAGATGACGAGTCCTGAATAAGACGAAATAAAGTCACGTTAATCTCTAAGCGTCGTTGAAGGCGTGCGTACTGGAGGCTGGCATACTGGCAGAGATCAGAAAATACAAATTAACTTAGATCAAACTGCTTATTCCCTGACAGAAATATCGTTTTTATCATTGCTAACATTTATTGTGTTAATTTATTTCTTTATATTGTTGGTGTGTTCTTTTTTTGTTGTTGTTAACAGGATGACAATGTAGATGTTGACAAAGATCCAGAGAAAGCATTCTATGCTTCAAGCGATTCAAAGATCACATCACTTATTGAACCAATGATTGCTTCACTTGTTGCATTCGCTAGATTAGTTCCTGGTTTTGAACTGGTAAGTTATTGATTTTGAAAAATGTAAATCACCCAAAAAATAATTCTACACTGTGGGGATTCTTCAACACCATGATTATTATATAGTTGTCTTCAATTCCAATTCCCCTGAGTAGTAGTTATCTGTAAAGTCTTTGACAGTCATTTTGAGCCGACCACAACAAAGAGCAACTGACAACAGATAAAAAGAAACAGCTGTTCATGAAATTGCAATTTAATGGGGACATGGCTAGTGAAGTCTTACATCTGAGATTATCGAGAGCAATAATAAAACGGACTTATACTGTCGCCACACCCTTTGTTTGTCATTTTCCAACTGCCGATCAATTATGATTGCTCAAGTGAAAGACAAGCTACCTAGCTGTACCACTTCTATGTGTATCTATAAATTTAGTTGCTCTTGTGGAGAGAGCCATATACGGCGAACAACTAGACTCCAAAGCCTCAGGATGGTCTGGGGTGGGTGCCTTGCACTGCGGGTTGGCCACCCCTCCTCACACCTCTTGAAATGCTCCCATATGACCGGGCGTCTTACATAGCCTCTCCTGAGGAAGTCCTACTCACTGCCTTCACGTGGCGGAGGTGTTTTTCACCAAAGTGAGAGGGCGAAAGCGGATGCCCGTCGCTCTTCACCGGGTTGACTGTCCATCGGATGACAGTCTAGGGGAGATGGCTAAACCCTGATTCCAAACCTCCAACGACTGGCGTATGAAGCTCACTGGAGCTCACCGGCAGACGTATGGACAAAGGGCTTGTTGGATGTCCTGGATGTCTGGCCCCATTCAAAAAGGCGTATGAACCGAACTTCGGTCACCGGTTGCCAATGGATAGTGGACTCCCTACTCCACTCCTACTGCCTTGTAGGCCACACTTGGTTGTGTAAAGGCTAGAGCTGCACTCTCAAACAAAAGGCCGAGCGATTCTGGGGACATCACTCGTACCAAATTCCCATAAAACTTCATGAACTCTCTTACAACGTTGCCTTCGGTGGTTTGGCCATGTTCTGCGCCGACCAGATGACGATCTGGTCAAATCAGTCTTAAATCCCTCGTCATTACCATCTTGGCGGTGTCGCACGGGTGGACAGCTGAAAACATGGCTTGGTACAGTCAAGGCTGATATGGAGTGCCTGGGGCTACAAACCGTCTACGGACTCCGTCTGTGGAACAAGAATTGGATAACCCTGTCGCAAAACCTTGCATCAGATCGCCGCACCTGAGCAGCGATGATTCGAGATGTTCATGAAGCCGGCTCATCCTCCCGTAGGAGATAGCCGAAGTAAAGAAAGAAAGAAGAACAACTAGACAGCTTAACTAACACACCATTAATGAGCATCTTCCGGTCATGGTTCGGAAAAGGCCAAATAAAATCTATGAGAATTTTTATCTTGGGTCATTTGATTGATGATAGCGGTCACCAAGTGGACAAAAATAGTGCCGCCTTCAAAGTTATCTATCGCATTCCATCGAGCCTTTCGAACGGAATTCCAACCCGCCTTTTATGGACAGAGTGATGTAGGCTGGTTGGTTGGTATCCTGCAGGTGCTAGGAACCAATGGTTTATAATTGATTGTGATATGGCACTCGAAAGCACTTTTCAATAGCGTAGATGCATTCACTCTTTTTGTGTCATATCCGATGTCTACTAAAGCGGCGTGTTTCTCCGTGTTATTATTCCTTCTCCCTGACATTTCGGCTTACTATGGTTGTTTCTGACCTCTTTTTTCTACCTTTGCGTATTAAATTGAGTGTAGCAACTCGAACTGCTGGATTTCTGAGTCAGGTTCTATGTTGAAACCCAGTCAGTTAGTCAGATGACGCATTTTTGTTTCGAAAAGCAAGTAGACGGCATACTGTAGTTATCTGAATAGTCTGGGTTTCCAAAGGAGGCGTCGTGGTGGAATTTCACCTCGAACGAATTGTCAATTGGGAAAATTGTTGATTTGATTCGGTGTGCATTACTACCGGTTCAACTATGTGTGTAGGTAGGTGAGTAGTCAGAATTTAGGTCGGTTTTATTTTTTACTGATTCGGCTAATAAGTTTGGGCTTCAACCGAGAAAAAACGGTCCCTACAGTGTTTCGGTCACCTTCATGTGGCTGGCAATTACTACCGCTCCAACTATGCATGCCGACCAACTGGAAGTATGTAGCCCATGAAGTTTATTGAGTAAAATTATGACGTGCTTAAATTTCGACTTATCTAAATGCCCTATTCTATCATATACGCACACTGCTTAGAATTACGCCTTCTGTTTCAACTTATGCCTGAGGTTTTTGGTGTTCCCCAAATAAATTCCAGCGGGGGGGGGAGGAATATCTTGATTAAGAAAGAACACATAAGTCAGCTGGCAACACAGATCTCCTCATTTCGTAACTTCACTTCAAAGGATTTATCGGTGCAATCTTAAGTGACAATAAAGGTCAGAGGTTACTGTCAGTTTGTAATAAAAAGAAATCAAAGTATATGAGTAATAACAATGTTTGACAAATTGTAAATAATCTTACGTAATCAGGAGAGTTGACAAGTAATTAGTTGAATGATGACTAATCATTTGGAAATAACTGTGATAGAAAACTTAAGAAGTAAGGATTTCATCATGAATTGACATCGGTTACAGAACCATTGGAAAACCCGGGAGATTTGGGACTCTTCATCAGTACTCACCTACCGGGTTTCGAACCCATGACCTTCCTGTCAGAAGGCGAGCTCGTAGACCATTAAGTCACTGAGACCCAATCGAATGGCCAATCCATGGATTCCAACTTCTGCCAGTTCACAAGATAGAGCGACTCGCATCAGCCAGTCTCATTGCTGGCGAGCGTTTGTTCTAACACCTGACTTGCTGTACCCCACTGGTCATGACTTCCCACTACAACCCAGGGATTTGATTTGATAAATGTCAGGACTTCATCATGGACCACTGGATTGCGTCCCAGTGGCTTAATTGTTTACGACCTCACTAGCTTTGTAACCAGGTGGTCCTGCGTTCGAAACCCAATGGGGTGGGTGCATACTGATGAAGACTCCCAAACTAGGCTGACGAAACAGCAGACTGTCCAGTACTCCCAGTTGGTTTTCCACTGATCCTCTAACCGATGTCAGTTCATGATAAAATCCCGAAACCAATCAAATCAAATCCCTGTGAACCAACAATTGAAAGAACTAAGAGTTGAAATTGGGTTACTAAAATTTTAAAAAAAAAATAAAATAAAAACGACTACACAGAGTTTGCCCATACCAGCTATTCAGGAAATCAAAAATTGACACTTAGATGACGGTAGTGAAAGAGTCTGGATAAAAAAAGGTTTCTGAACGTAAAGTTTAGGTTTTTCCTTGTCGGATTGCTAAAGCTTTGGCTGCATGAAGAACATGTAGATAAAATCCTTCTAGTTGGCCCGATCCTACTTTCCGTATATATGACTCCGAATAATAAAGTGTCTTCTGATGCTGTGTGACCAGGAGGAGGGCTGCAGAAATGAGCTGTTGACCGTTCTACGTTCTCTTTTTAACAACTATGCTGGTAAATGTTCATGGGCACATCTAGACATTATCCATGGTGAGCGATAACGAGGAATAACACGTATAAAAATCAGTTGAATAACAACTATCCTTGAGAATTTCGCCTTATTTACATTTGCGTTCCGAATGGAATATACGGCTCCAAGACGTTTATTTTTTCACGATATTTCCCTTGTCCGCGGGTTTACTACGGAATAAGCGAGGTTTTAGGAGTGCATCCGTTGAGGGATCGAACCCCGTAGCATGTTAAGCGCGACTGGTTAACATTTTATCGCTGGACCACCCACGCTGGTTCTAAGTACAGTGAATTAAGTAGTACCAAAGAAAATCTAAAACAGGAACTGATACACATAAAAGAAGGATAAATTAGTCAGGAAATATGTAAGGAAATGTAAAAATAAAATAAATAATGATAGTAGCGATAGTGATAACAACAATAATAATGATAATAATAGTGATAATAATAATAAGAATATTAATGATGACACCAGCAATAAGGAATCTAAATCATCAGTAGTAACTCCATACAAGGAAGGAACCTCGGAAGCCTTACGCAGAATTCTTAACAAGGTAGGAATAAAAGTGGCTGGCATTCAAACCCACAAACTAAATTAGAAACAAGCTTTGTCCTTTAAAGGAAACCTGTAGAGCCTTTAAAACAAAACATTTTAGTTTATCTAATACTCTGCCTGCAATGATTGTCAGGTCAAATACATAGGTCAAACTAGTAGAACAGGGGCAGTCAAACTAGCTGAACGTAAAAACTTAGCAAAATCTAGATTGGTTGATCCAAATAAGATAAGAAATCTAGAGAATAGTTTAGCTATAGCACTACATGCAGTTGCACACAACCATACAATAGGCTGGATGGGATAGGATGACAGTTTTAAAATCTAATGTAACAGGGTGGAGGGAGAGATTGATAACAGAAGCTTTGTTTATCGAATCAACTGCAAATACATGTAATAGGAATGATTCATCACCTGTCCCAGATATCTGGAAAATTCCACCCACGCTGGTGTTTTTATTTTTATTACTTTACATTCCCAGTGGAACATAGGGCACCTTCAAACTAGAGGCTTGAAGTTTCTGTAACAGTGGTGTTTACTTTTACAGGATGAGGTCACTATCCAACCTCATATACAGCCCAACCGTCCCTCTTTACTAGTCTTATTACTGGCTTAGCGAGGTAAAGTAGTGTGTTGGTAGCTGGAGACCATTCTACCACTGTGCCACCGACGCACAACCATGGAGTAATGGACAACTTTTTCCCCTAGTTATTCAGGCACTTGAACAGTATATACGCTCACCGGGTTTTGAACTTAGGACCTCAGGTGAGGTCGTGGATCATTCAACCGCTGGGACTCCAGTTGCTTATGAAAAGCGATGAGGATACAGTTCTGTGTAAAATCATTGTATTTACAACATGCCGACTACTACTGTTGTAACAACAGAAGACAAGGTCCAGGCAACAGATCGTTTATTAAGGAAATCAAAGCATATTTATATATTTTCATGTACATTATTATAGATTATTGTTAGCAGAAAAACACAGTCTTCTGATTGGTTGTTTCTTGCTGAAAGTTAATCTTTCATCTCTTTGTGGCTGTTTCTTGAATGTCAGATCATCTATATGCTAACTGTATCCGCCTACGTAAAGTCTTTGTTCATATTTTTCTCACGACCAATATTTGGGGCATTCGCGTAAATTACTGTCTACCAAATTTGGCTAGCAGCCAGCTCTCACCACACTGTTCCTATTATCATTATTGATTATTATGTTTCTAATATTTCTCTTTTGTCTACTACAGCTGGATGCCAACGACCAGACACGTCTACTTCGCGGTTGTTGTCTAGACATCATCACTCTACGTGCTGCCTATCTACTGAGTCGTATAGCTATTCAACTTGGAATTATTGATTCAAATGGACATCATAATAAGCCCCAATCGATGATGATGATGATGAACACATTGTCAGGAGCAGTAGTCGAGTCAAGTGATCCACTGCACCATCAGCAGCAGCAGCAGCAACACGGTGTCACATCGATTATTCCAAATAATATCTATCCACAACTTGGTACTTCTGATGCTAAATGTGCTCAAATGATTCGTGGTGTTGCACTGAAATTAGCTCGTCTAGAAATTGATCAAACTGAAGTCGCTTTAATGACAGCTATTTTATTAATGTCACCGGGTAGGTTGATCGTGAAGTTTTGTTTCCCACCCCCTCCCCGCAACCTTTAATAATGGTAATAATAATGATAAGCATATGAACTTCTTTATTCTGGAGTTTATATGTTTAAAAAAATATTCACTCGTTGTATATGATTGACAAGTAAATATCCTCCGTTATGGCTGGCTGGCTGTGAGCGAGACATGGTCACTGAGAAGGTGGAAGACATGGAAAGCTTCGCTAACCTGTCTTTGATCATAGCTGCCTGCATTCTATCTCCTCCGTGTTAGGTGGCGTGGTGGTATAATAGGGTGAGCAATATTTGGATGAGGCATCGGTCGAGGGAAAATCAATCGACCAGGTTGTGAAGTTCACATCGATTGAAAGAGATGGTTAGGATATGTGTTATGCATGCATGCATGCATGCCTAGACGTCGCCTCCCTCTACCGACGGGCAATGTTAGCTGACTGACATACGATGGATGGATCAGGTTGGAAAAGAGTTAGCTAATGGTTGGTGGTCAAACCAAAACACGGCTTCATCAGTCAATGAAATCCATAAGAGTTAAATTAAGCCAGCCAACCACATTGGGAGGTGTAGACTGGCTTCCTGGTTGGGGTCCTCGGGATGGTAAGAACCAATGAAGGCTATGAATGAAAAATTATCCCTGATGTGGCTGAAAATTGTTCTCAGTCATGGCTGGCGTAGATGTATAGACTCTTTATGATTTATCGTATCCACTAACACTATTGTCCTTCCATATTACTGATCTTTTTGCCTCACTCACATTTCTGTTTATTATCTCTCTCTCTCTCTCTGTTTTGAATCTCTCTTTCCTCTCTTCTCTTGCTTTGTGTGCTACATGGGTGAGGGTATGGCAACTCGAATCAGTCAGTCAGTCAATGTGATCCAAGAATATAACTGGAAGATTAAGATATCATAAAGAGACTGAGACAAAGTAGATCTACTGTGATGGAGATGAAAATTAAAGTAACCCAGGCCACCATTTATGAGCCATTGAACCGGGTCACAGTGGCTGAATGGTATATGAGCTTACCTTGTAACCGGAAGGTCCTGGGTTCGAATCCCAGTGGGTGCGTACTGCCAGTGTTTCCCAAACTAGGATGAAACAGATGTCCAGTACTCCTTGTGGCTGGTTTTCAATGGTTATCTAACTGATATCAATCCGTGGTCAACTCGTAAAAAGATGACTAACCCTTACAAACCAAACTATAGAAAATCCAATTAACGCCGATCTATTACTCTGACCTATATAACTGACCACACTGTCATTGTCAAGAATTCAGTAAATTATATGATCTTCCCTATGTGGATCTAGCTGGTACTTAGGCGGATAAAGTTGATCTCTTTGAGTGGAATAGTTGATTTAAGTGGAATCAAAACCAAACACGTGCAGTCGAAATGATTCGACCTATATTCCAGATATATATTGAGCAATTGTGATGAAAAAAATACTACAGGCATTAGGATTACATAAATCAAGTTCTCAGAACATATGAATAAATACACTGATGTGATTATTATGAGTGAGCAGTAATCAATTGTCTTCGAAATATCATCCGTTTAATAATGCTGCACTACACTGATTTACGTGGAATAAAGTGACCTAACATGATATTACGTGATATACTACTGAAGTCTGTTCACGGGTAGCAAATAAAGCAATAACAGTAATAGTAGTTGACCATTGAAAACCAGGGAGTACGGGACAAGTGTTTCGTTTTTTCCACCATTATCTCTCTCTCTCTCTTGGGAGTCAAACACAACACCTTTAAGGCACCAAGTGAACCCACTGACCATTCAGCCGGTGATACAAAATCCAGTGACCTATGGTCAAAAATGTTTAGGTGTGTGTTTTGTGTTTAAGTGATACGAGTGATACCCAGTTAGGTTGCATTATTTAGAGAATTACTGAAAACTGGAAATACTTGGATGGTTGGTCCTCTCAAGTTTGAGATTGAATCTGTAGGCTTCAAGTGTTTAACGGGTGAACATGTTACATTTCGAGTATTCAACTGATTGGAATCCAATGTATAACGGATTCTAACATCTGCCAGCTTTCACTAAATAGGATCATTGCTAAATACTAGTATCGGCCAACGTTTATGTTCTTACCCGAAATAGAACATTTCACAAGCCACGATTTCTCATTTGAGTTGTGGGAATACTGTCCTCAGTTGTGAATTAATTTACATTAATAGAAAATTTGCTCCAGTGTGATGCACTTCACACATTGAAAAGTACTTCTGAATATCATCTACTCCAATCATCATCATCATCATCATTTGAAGACCCGATCAGGCTATCTAAATTTCACACAAAGCCCCCCCTCACACACATCATGAAGTAATTACCCCAAAATGTGATGAGAAATATTTGGAAATTATGAATGTGATCCAGTGTATTACCAGTTCGTCAAAGTATCGAAGCTTTGAACTGATTCGGCTTTGTGAGATGATTCATCCAGTCTTATAAAGACCCGCTTATTAAAGCTCTTGGCCACAGAGGAGTGAAACAACCCTCCGGTATCTGAATCACTTCTAAGCTGACTGACTAACTGGCAAGCATTACTAGTTCATAGAACTTGGTTCTACATTAGATAGGAGATTATCTGATATAACACACAGTTGAAATGCAGTTTTAAAAGCTGGATCACGTTTCGAGAAAAATTTATTATTGCTTATAATCATATGAATGTATTCACATGGCTTCATAATTTGATTTATTTATTTATATATTTCTTGTTCCCCTCCCTATTGGTTGGCTGTAATTTTCCATACCCCCGATATAGACATTGAGCTGACATTAGTTAGAGAACCATTGGAAAACCAGCTGGGAGTACTGCCAGACAGCTTACTATTTTGTCAGCATAATTTGGAACTCCCCATTAGTACCCACTCACCGGGGTTCGAACCCAGGATCTTCTGGTTACAAGGCTAGTGAGCTCATAGACCATTAGGCCCCTTGGATTCGACCCGATCTAATTCCCAGCCTATGAATTTTAACTAGCTTCTGCCAGAAGGTCCTGACTTCTAACCAGGTGTGTGTGGGTGCGCACTACTGAAGAGTACAAAACTAGGACGAAATAGCTGTCCATTACCTCCACCCTACAAAAACCAATACTTGAAAATCATTTCGATTAGACACGTGTTCGGTGTCGATTCTATAACCAGAGACACACTCTGTCTCTCTCTTTCTCTCTCAAATATAAACTCCATCGACCTAAGGACCTGATAGATCTAATCAAGAAAAATAATTACCATAAAATGGCATATAATGACTGTCGGTAAGGTCAGTTACGTAGATCAAGTTGGTAGATAGCAGTCAGTCAGATTACCGGAATATAGGAATTTAACTTGACCTAGACTAACTGACTCTAGAAAAAAGGTCAGCGTGCAGTCAACCTCGAAAGAGGTTAATCATTGGGTCGTTGTTCTTAATCCATTCAACTCTGATCACGTGCAATCGAAATGTTCGAGGTCTCTGCTGATATTTCTACTTTTAGTATGTATGCATCTCCAACAATATCTGAGGATTAACATAAAATTATTTGTTGTATGGTAACAAAGAATACGGTCAAGAATGGCCATTTTCTTCTATTTGGATGGGACTCGTTAGTTGGATGGTATTCACACTCAGACTTCCTCCACCGGCTGTTGTGGTCAAAATGACGAAAGTGGATAACGCTGTATCGTCGGAATAATATTGACTACTAGGTTGGAGTCTTAGTGGAAATACCATGAGGAGTTTCAAAGGGGATAACAAGTGCTTTACTGGTTCTTCTTCTTCTTCTAGTCACTATCCACTAGACAATTCACATACTGAAGTTTGATATCAGCTGGATAACCATTGGAAACCAACAGGGAGTAATGAACAACTAGTTGTTTCGTTCAGGTGTTAGGGTCTCTTCCTCATTATGCAACCATGATTCTACAACCTAGAGTTCAACCCTGGAGCCTTCACGTTGAGACGAGGTGAGCTGGGATGAAATCTAATGTTTTTATGAATCCTAGCTTGTATCCCTATAGTTGGGCGATCGATCAGCGAGCTCTGATTCCCAGCTATGGTGTGCTGTGGGTGCTTTCTATTGAAGAGTCCCAAAGAGGGACGAAAAAACGCCGGTTCACTACTTCATGGTAGTTTTCAGAGGTTCTCTAACTGTTTTAATTGAATTTTAGATTTTCCCGTCGATTGATTGGACCGAAGTGCGTGGTCTCAGGTTAACATGTCGGCTTCTTGAGCAGATGCTTCGACGACGTCTGGGCATGTAATTCGAAGTTAATCGGTGGACGGTGACTAGCAGTGGAATCCAGGACAAATCGCATTTCGTCCTATTTGGACGAGCAATTCGGTCCAATCAATCGACGGGAAAATCTAAAATTCAATTAAATCAATATGACCCTTTGCACAAGAGGTGGATCTCGTGGTCCAAGTGGTCTAGTGGATAACGCTTTGGCATTTGGAACTATGGGCACTGGGTTCGAGCCTCGGTGGGAACATCATCACTCACTGAGAAATGCAGGTACATCCAGATGGTGAGTCTCAAATAGGACGAAATGCGCATCCTGGATTCCACTGCTATTCACCATCCACCAATTAAGTTCCCTGTGATTAAACTTGTAATTTTTCACCAACCTCGATAAAAACCGCTTTATGTGCGTGTGTAATGCATGTCTAATGAATATTCTCATAATATTTAAAACGATAGATGAATGTCACTTAATGCTACTAATGTCTAATTTTCGTCTATGGTAGTTCCTCCTTCTATGTATGAATTATTGGCCTAGTCATTCTTTAATGACCTTTATAGTAGGACTGATAAAGAAGAAGAATTATGAAATGTTATGGTCATATTTTTCTTGTATGTTTGTGTGAGTGTGTGTGTTTGTTTGTCTATTTGTTTCACTTGCTGTACCACCCATCACTTCAATATCTTCTGAAATAAACGTCTATACCGTAGGGTGTGGTGAAGGTTTGTTAGTAGAGGTGAAAGAACACACACACGCAAAATATGAGGTCAAATGAAAGCGAAGTAACCTCTACACTTGTTTGTGTGTGTGGGTGCGGAGGTCAGCGCATGTATAAACTAACTTCCAATCAGATTCACCTAAGAACAAAACTTATCTCACTCCGCTTACAAAAAAGAACAGTGAATATTTTAGTAACCTTAGTCTACGGCAGGCCAGTGTGTGTTTTCCGGTCTTCACTATCCTGGCGTTTCTTTTTAAGATAGAGAAACAGTCAACCATGGAATGGAAATAATAACGTTAACCAATGCTGCGTCAGGGTCAACACATCACAGATGTTTTTAGGTCGTATATTTGTATACACAAAGAGAGAGAAACTGTCTATCTGTTTTTTGTTTTAATCAGCTGATAAGATATTTAAAAATCAATAGTTTTTCAAATGGGGTTGAAGAGGAGGGAGAGAGAGAGGTCATCAACCCAATTTACCGTTAACCCTAAGCAAGCAAAAAGCAAAAAAGTAACTGGAGACAGAAGTATGTCTACCGGTTGAGATGAAACTAGTGTCAAGTCAGTCAATGCTTTTATGTGGTTGATGCATGCGTTACCGAAAGCATTTGAAATAGGCTAGAGTAGGCCTTCAACTAGGAAGGATAAACAATAAGCAATTCTAACAGGTAACGAAGCAACCAAGAAATTATTCCTGAAGATATACGGATTGAGCATAGGCTGAAGAGACATTTGAGTGGATATCACACTCTACGTAGATAACCTAATGGGAAGCGAAGAGTTGGACGTAGGTCCTTGGGTGATATGTGAAGGACCATAAGGATAAAACTTGGGCACTGTAGTAGAGTATAATTCCATTATGAGGAAAAATTTATTTCGATAAAGTCTCACAGTAATATTTACTGATGACCACATTTCCAGCACAAATTATTACAACTGTTCATAATCATATCAAGGCACTACTCACACAACTTTCTAACTTCGTTTATAGGCTTCCATTATTTTTCATCGCTTGACTTGATTGGTAGTAACATTTTCCATACTTCCGGTGAGAGTGATGAGTCATTGCATCCTTTTGCACGTGTCGGGTGTAGACTCGATGAACTAGGATTCATTAAGCAATCTCTCCACCTACGTATATTACTTTTTAGAATTTGGACTCTGTCCCACCTTATTGTGTGGTTGTGTGTTAGTGCATGCAGTGGAATCGCTGAGTTCCTCTTTCTAAATCACTTATTTTCGCGGGGTCGATCATTCTAACCTTAGCTAACTTCTTATATTTTGACAGTCTGACTACCCTCGACCCATTAGTTTGACCTATGTAGTTGACCTCATTCACAGTCATTGCAAAGTATTTTCTAAATTATATTAGTTTGTCTAATTGGGTCAACCGACAGGGTCCTTTAACCTACAGAGCTTGTCCTACCTGAGTGAGTTTGTAGATTTGTATGCCACCCTAATTCCTGCGTGAGGAGAGTCTCAGATGTCCTCTCCTTATATAGTAAAACTGTAGATGCCTTATACTCTCTCTTATTTATGTTATCATTACTAGTTTCACCATTATTTTTATTTTGCTTTTGACCTTTTTTGATCTTCCTAATGAATTTTACAGGATACTTATTTAACACCAACCAGCTATTCTTCTATCTGTTTTATTTCATCGTTTAGGTCTTTTCTTGTGCTACTTAGTGCTACTGCTCGGTTTGTTAGACGGACACTTAACTAAGCCTGCTTCACTGACAGATAACGGATGAGATGAATTAAAGTCTAAATATCCATTAGAATGCGTTGGTTTATTTTTATAAACGCTAGTGTGCAGTTTAGCTTCTTCTATTCGTTTAATTTTACAATCTAACTTCATAGCTAATTCTTCTTGTTCATTTTCCGATTCAAATGTGAATTTTATTCCCTTGACTAGTGAGCTGATATGTGTTCAGAAGCTAGGTAATCAGCGGTAATAAATTGTGCTCGAAACGACGTCATCAGTAGATATTACTGTATAACAATGTGAGAATTCATCGGAATAAATTTTGTCTATAATGATATGAAGGACATTAATCCCTCCTTGGGCTATTAAAAAAAATTTATTACATTGAGAAGGGCATTGACAACTGTTGGTGGGTCAATAAAGGTGTCGCTAACCCAACTCGTTAGAATTCTTGTGGATTCTCTCGAACTCATGCAAAAAATTGGTGAATATCATCTTTTCGGACTAAGAGCACAACTCTTGCCGTCCATCTCAGCAGGTAAGACTAGAAATGCAACGGTAGAAGACTAGAGCCATGGAAATATATAGCGAAATTAAGTACACCTCATCTTCAACGCACCATTTGCACAGGTCTTCCGTGTTGTGCCTGCTACTTCTCCCCTTCCTTTATATTGTGCGTGTTTCTTTGTGTCCGTTTCACATCTCCCATGTATGTGCTCAATGTCGAATCCTCTGTTTTCTCTGACATCAAATCTGTTTCCTTTCTGTTTGATGTTTTTGATGCCTATGGACGTCTCTTTATATACTACTGATAAATCTTATGAGTAGCACACGCCACAAAAGTAATCATAAAAGACTTAAATGGTTGGATAACTAAATAAAAAAACTCTTAAACACCTTATTTGGCGCACATCTTCTATGATGAGATAGGTGTTCCCGACGAAACTGACAACTTATTGACATTATTATCAATGTAAATGGTCTGTTAATTATTTTCCCCTCGTTACTATATAAATGTTAAGAGTATAATGGGTTTTTTGTACACCTTTACGTTCCCAGTGGAACATAGGGCATCAAGCCTGAAGTTTCGGTAGCAGTGGTTTTTATTTTTACAGGATGCGGCTGCTAGCCAGCGTCATGCCCAACCTTCCCTCTTTACCAGTCTTATTACTGGATTAGCGAGGTAAATGAGTGTGTTGGTGGCCGGGGGTCGAATCTCGAACCACCTGAGTGATTGGCAAGCATCCTACTTCTGTGCCACCGATGCACAAGGATATTAGTTACAGTATTATAATTTATGCTGAAAATTTCACATTGTATCAAGTATAAATGTTCGGAATAAAGCCATTATTATTATTACTATTATTATTATGTGTGAATGGAATAAAAGCTGATGAGCAGTGCTGGAGCCACCTAAAACAGACTTCAGAAAAATTAAGATATTCTGTCGAAGCCCTATTATTGCTTTTATTCCCTTAGGTCTCCAGTGGAATATAGGTCTTCAAAATCACATTGCCATTTTATCTACCCACTCATAGGTTGTCATCTCCTCTTCATACGATCTCCTCCATGTCACATTCGAACCACAATGCCCAAGTCATTGTTTCTCATTCGGGTTCCACTCGAGGATATGCTTGGCACCTGACGTCAGTCAATGGTGTTTTCAGTCCGTCGCTATTTCCTGCTGGATATTTGTTGAGCAATAGGTTCCAAACTGGTTTGTCGCCAATTCTTTATGGCCATCTGATGTTCAGTATGGAGCCAGTGTAGGCAGTTGTTGATATAAGGCTGAAGCAGCCTGTTGGAAATGTTTATTGTGACGCTCGAAGTCTCTAACCCATATAAAAGAACTAATTTTCTTCCGTAGAGGATTTCCACAACTGATTTCACAGTTATGAGGGTCTGTTTTACCTTTCCGATCCTGACTGGTTTCGAAATTCCCACAAATGCCCTCTGTCGTTTGAACGATGCTGTCTGGGTTATTGAAATAAAAAAATTTCTCTCGCTGATGGTGATTATTAGTCACTGTTCCCCTTTGAGCCCCACTCGATATCCTACTTGGCAGACGTTGTCATTCATGCTTGATATAATATCACTGATGAATAATCCTTCCATTTTTCTTTATCCTCCATTTTATTTTCCCCAGATCGTTTTGGTTTAACCGACTGTGAAACAGTTGAGCATACACAAGATATCTTACTGGAGACATTTAATCGTTATGCTAATCGTATACGAAAGTTACGCTCTTTACGACTTCAATCAAATCGTCTAACGTTGAATTCACAACCACAACCACAACAGCAGCAGCAACAACAGCAGCATCAGCAACAACAACAACAATTACAACATCAACAATATTGGCCAAGAATTTTAATGGCACTAACAGAATTACGTTCAATTACATTGTGCAATCAAGGCCTGTTTGTAGAGAAAGCATTCGACACAAGTATTGAACAATTGCCATGGTATTTTCGTGAATTGTTCACTGGAGATTTTATACTACAAGAGACTAATAGATTGCCTTCAAAGATTAACAGTAATAATAATAATAATAGTAATAATATGACATAAATGGAAGCGCCCAATACCTTATACACATATATCCATATATATGTGTTCGTTTTACTGATAGTCTACCTCAGAAATAACATCCATTGTGTGTGTGTGGAGATCAAAGGGAGGCTTTTTGAAGTATCAGGACTGTCTGTGAATTGTTTTCTTCCCCTATATCTCTCTTTTCTTTGCTATTCTCTCTTATCCCTTGTCTTGAACGCTGATTGGATGACCATAAAATGATGAAAGCAATGAAAACAAGCTGTTGTGATCTGGCTTGTTTCTATAACAAAGGATCCATCTATCGGTAGAATGACATATATATTTTCTTAAAGTAATTTCTTCTTGGAAGTCTAGTGGTGGTGATGTTTCATTCTGTGTTCAAGACCATCACCACCACCGCCACGGCGACGACGAGTACTCACTCGTATCTATTAGGAAGGTAGAAGAGAAGAAATCTCCTTTAACTCTTTTGTAGATTAGGTAGATAGATATCTTAATATTTTTATGTGTGTGTGTGCTGTCTCCGTCTTTTTTTCCTCTTCTGGTTATATACTACTGATACTATTACGATTAGTAGTATCGTAGCAGTCGTACTACGATTACTACCTAATAGGATATTATTTAATAATAGAATTTATCCAGGAAATATCCTTGGACAGTTATGTGTGTTTCCGTCAGTTTATTTTATTTTATTTATTATTTATTTTTCTTTACTTCAAGTAGACCCTTACTACTAATACTACACCTAACTTTGTGTGTTCATTTCCCTGATCACTGCTTTCATTTGAGTAGACGATCCGTTCTACCACGATAACTAGTAATACTACTAATAATAATGATAATAATAATAATAAAACGTAATATTGTTTCTTTTTTATAATAAATTTATTTTCGTTTGTTTTGTTTCTTGTCGTCTCCATGAAAAGAATCAGCTTAGCTCTTCACCCGCCCCGCCCCACCCCTCTGTTCTCAAGTAAACACTTTAGGATTTTATCAATCGTTTGCGCTCGAGTTCTTCTTCTCTGTGTGTATTGTATGTCCGTGTTATTTTTACCCGGGGGTTTTCTGCCTTCACTGATCTTAAGTGCGATATGTGGTGCGTGTGTGTGTGTGTGGGAGTATCCTCTCCTTCTGTGTACATAACACTATCTATACGCTTGTACTCTTCTCCTCCTTCTTGGAAGTATGTAAGGCATCTTTGATGGTATTTGTCTGTACAACCCCCCTGCTAAACCTCATCGCTCCCCACCCTACCCCACCCCACGCACACCACCACCCCCCTCGATCAATTCTGCTGTACTATTACTATTTCTTTTGCTTGAAAATGTGATCCTTTTTGATATTCTATTCATGCTTCCTACACGAAGGAAGGTAGATAGATAGACAGAGACAATTGATGACGCCTAACGCGTAAACGTATCAACAGGCATATAAACAAACTAACGAACAAACAAACTGTGGTTTTCCATTTACTTTGCCAATTTCAGTTTTTCATATGTATCTTTTTTCTTTGTGTGTGTATAAATGTTTGCATGCTGTCTTGCTCTTTCCCTTTGAGTCTTTTTATGCCCCCCCCCGCTCCGCCTGACTCTGTCTCTTTCTTTATTTCTCTCTTTCTTTTTCTCTGTTGTTTTTCATAATAGAATTAATTCCTCTTTTTCCAATCTTGTGACTTTTTTCTCTTTTCTATCAGAGGATGGTTAGGGGGAGGGAATGACACAGTGGGGGTAATTTGGTGTATGGTGATTAACAGTGGAATCGAAGAGGTTGCTAATTCCGTCGTATTTTTGGATGTACCTGTGTTCCCTAGTGACTGAGTGAGTGAGCGATGGTGTCCCCACTGAGACTCGAACCTAGTACTTATGGTTTCAAACTCCAAAGTGTTGTCCACTCTACAATTTAAGCCACGAGAGTCAACCTCTTGTGTAATGGATGTCAGTAATTGTCTGGTTTTACTCTAAATTAAATTTCGATTTACCGAAAGTTCGACCTCTGTTGAAATGTCTGTCGGCGCATAGTACGCACTCTTCTTCAATGATGTCTGGAGATTAGCTTGAAATAATTTGCTGGATTGTGATCATTGTCGAAAGCGTCCGTACTAAGGAGCCGGCCACCTCAGAAGAATGACCGAACATTTCAAACTAATCATTCAGTGAGAAAATTAAAAGTGAGTTAGGAAAATTTTGAAGTGGTATTGTCTAGCCTTAAGCGATTACAGCCATTCATTGTATTGATGACATGGTGGTTCGCTGGAACTTACCACTTGACCGTCAGACAGGGGTTCCTTAGATCAAAGTAACTCTGAGATTAATTCAGCCTAACGGACTTGCGAAAATATCATAAGTATTCATCGAATAAAGTGTGACTTGTAGTCGTGTGGTAAATGAAAAGTGTTGTGGCCTTCTGTCCGAATCCCAAGGGCCTTCTGTAGGTGTGTGCGCGTGTGTTTGATCGCCTTCGAGAGAGAAAGAGAATGACTACTTGGCTATGACTGTGACCGACTACAATGTACCTGGATGTTTCAAAATGTTGCTTTCAGCTCTGCTATTTGTGCAGTCAGCGGTGAAATGGTTGACTGTCGGTGTAGGTCAGATAACACTGGTGTGTATACAGAGTATCGAATCACAAAGCGAAAATTGTAATTTGATACATTTATTCCCCTTAATAAATTTGAACAAAGGAAGAACTACATTTTTAGCAGAATTATGCGGTACCATCATTGTTTATTTCGCTGTCTTCTCGTCAGCTGCTTACAGGGCAAAGTTATTATTAAGTGTTTCTACAAAGACAATTTTGACATACTTGCACAGAGTTCATTCTAAACAAAAATCAATCGATCAGTATATGCATACAGTAATAACATATATATTTATATAATATCAAACACTATTCCGAGTGATAATAATCATACAAAATGGAAGGAGAATTGAGCTCTTTTGCCTATTGATAATTTTGAACGACTTTTCGACGTCCACCTCATGACCTGTGTCGAGGAGATGCCTGGCGATATCTAAAGGGAACAAAACAAAAGGGAACTCTGTGCAAGTTTGTTAAAACTGTTTCTGTAGATATGCTTAATAATGTCTTTGCCCTGTAAGCAGCTAACAAGAAGACAACGAAATAAAAGATGGTACCAATTTATTCTGCTAAAACTGTAGTTCTTGCTTTGTTCAAAAATTGTAAGTAATACAAGCCATACGAATATAAACCTGAAATTGGTCTCGTCAATAAATCTGCGCTGGACCTAATAATGAACTCAGGCGAAATGTCAAAAAAAGTCAGCCGCAACAATGAGACCTACTCATCAAACAGTATATTACAGTTTAATTGGTGAATGGTGACTAGCAGTGGAATCCAGGATGCGCATTTCGTCCTATTTGGGACTCGTCATCTGGATGTACCTGCTATAGTTGTTAAGATTAATGAGTTATCAGAGTATGTGGTCACTTGGGGCGTATTATCCACAAATTCATTCATATATATATTCCAAAGATCCGCAACTACCATCTTTCAACAATTCCTTTCCAGTGCGAGTTTTTCAAACTGATTGTTGACTCCTCTTTGGAAGATGATGTCAGTTCCAATAGACGGGAACCAGTTGACTACAGACAAAACAGAAGATTACGTACAAAAACAAACTTGGATACATTTTCATTTCCTGTGTGTGATAAGTGTATTTTCGAAGAAAAAAAACGCGTGCAAACAAGAGAGATGTAAATCAATACGAAGTGTTGTGATTGTAAGGAATGTTAATCTTTTTTATTTTCAAGAGTTGGTTTGTAAGGATTAGATTTGTTTTTACGAGTTTGACTGCGGATCGATATCAGTTAGAGAACCATTAGAAAACCTGCATGGAGTACTGGATACCTGTTTCATCCTAGTTTGCGAATCATCTCCAGTATGCACCCACCACTAGGGTTCGAACCCAGGATCTTCCAGTCACAAGCCAAGCTGGCTCGTATACCGTTCAGCCACTGGGACCCGATTCCACAATGGCCAGTCCATGGATTCTAACTTCTACCAATTCGTGATTTAGCGCGACTGGCACCAACCAATGTCATCGGTGGGACATCCATCCTCACACGTGACATCTGGTTAGACCTCACCGGTCACGACTTCTCACTAGAATTCCAGGAAACTCCGTCCTAAAACTAGTCACTAGCGAGTATCAGTTTAATTTTCAATAGTTGGTTTGTAAGGATTAGATTTATTCTTACGAGTTAACCACGGATTGTTATCATTTGGAGAATCATTAGTTGGTGGTCGCGCTAAATCACGAATTGGTAGGGAGTTAGAATTCATGAGCTGGTCAGTTAGGAGTCGAGTCCCATTGTCTGAATGGTATACGAGCTTGCCTTGTAACCGGAAGGTTCTAGGTTCGAACCCTGGCGTTGGGTGCTTACTGCAGATGATTCCCAAAACTAGGATGAAACAGCCATCCAGTACTGCACTGCCGGTATTTTTATGGTTCTTTAACTGAAAGCAATCCGTGGTCAAACTCGTGAAAACAAATCGTTTTTATATATTCAACAAAAACAATATACTTTGATTGGACAATAGTAACTAGTGTGATGTGTCTAGTTCTTCGTTTGGTGCAGACTGAATTCTGTCATTCACATTTGCGATATGGCCATCATTCTAGGTGGCTTGCCATCACGGCGCACTGTAAATTATTGATGTTAGATGCTTGAAGGCAATCGGCCATACAAAGCCCAGCCTGACCTAAGTTTCGTGCTAGTTGGTACTCACCAGTCAGTCAGCAAGGCGTATCTGCAACTGCCTTGAAGGAAAAACTCATGTCCCTTCTGAGATTCGAACCCGCGTCACCCAGTGCCGCCTACAGTCAGAGGCGACGTTACCACTGGGCAGCTATTCAGGCTCGCGACTGACCTTCTGTAGTAACTAATGTCGAATCAAAGTATCCAATACAGTCCTAACCATCTAATAAAAACAGTATAAATTCTTCAAGTATTGGTTTGTAGGGATTTGATTGATTGATTACACGATTTCATCATGAGCTGACATTGGTTAGAGAACCAGTGGAAAACCTGGGAGTACCGGACAACCAACTATTTCGTCCTAGTTTGGGACTCTTCATCGGTACGCACACACCCCAGTGCCAGGGTTCGAAACCGCGACCTTCTGGTTACAAGGCTAGCGAGCTCATAGATCATGAAGCCACTAAGACCCAATCCAATGGCCAGCCCATGAATTCCAGTCTCTGACGTTTCACGACATGGCGCGAACACTGGCCAGTGTCTTCCGTGGCGAATATTTGTCCTCACACCCGACCTGTTGCACCCTACTGATCACGACTTCCCACTAGAACCCCAGATAACTGCCTCCCTGAATAAGGCCAGTCGCCAGTAAGCATCTCATTAAGCATCTCAAATCTTCTTCCTGCACTCTACATGAGTCTATGTCGGATAAACAATTTCTAACACAGGTTAGTATTCCTGAGTTGTTAAATTCTGTTCCACTAGATGAATAGTCAGTTCAAGTCTCCTTGTAACCCTAAGGTTGTAAATTCAGTCCCTGGAGGTGAGTTCGTAGGTACAAACCGTCTCAGTACTTAGGACGAAAAAGCTGTTTAGTATTCCCTCCCGGTTTTCAATGGTTCTCTGACTGTGATGTCAGTTAATTTATGGTCAAATTTGAAATCGGTCAAATACCTACAGACTGACACCGGAAAAGTGAAATAACTAAATTATTGCTTTTTGTGATTAAAGCCAGTCAACATTTAATTCATCAAAGAGAAGCTGGAATTGTCTTCTACGAATTCAAGAATATAAGAATAACAAAGTTCAGTGAACAGTCTCTTTTCGGCGGCGTATTCATTCACTTAGCTGTACAATCGCATTTTTATAAACCATTATTTTGTGTGTGTGTGTGTGTGGTGTACACTAGGATTGTCAAACAAAATAAAATAAAAAACTAGTTAGGGTTACTTATATATGTCCAAACCAAGTTCACTTTTAACGGTTTGAAAAAATTTGGGCATTGGGTATATGATATTCATTATGATAAAGGTTTTTGTATTTCCCAATGAATGAAAAACAAAACGATATTGTTTTTACTGACGTTTCGCTATTTAATGCTAATAGCTTTATCAAAGTATTATTAAACCGGAATTTACAAAATCTAAGCATATATATAACAAACAGTTAGGAGGTGAGAAAATAGACATAGGTCAAGTTAAAGGGACATATTGAAAGTTAAGATATGTAGATGATACTTTTGTAGTGCTAAAACGAGATCTACACAGTTCATTCCT